ACAAATACTGTAGTTTGCTTACTATGTGATCAATTTTTGTGAATTTTCCATTTTGTTTTGGAAAATATGTATCCTCTTTCATAGAATTCATAGTTCAGTTTACATATATAGTATTTATCTTATTGAGTATATCTTATTGATTATATCCTTATTTTTTACTGCTCTATCTTGGGTTAAGAGAGGAGGGTTAAGATTTTCCATTATTAGTGTATTTCTGACTATTTCTTCTTTAATCTCATGTAGTTTCTGCTTTGTGAAGGTGGTTGATTGGGTGCATAAATATCAGTAGCTGTTACGGATCTTCATTATGATTCCTAACACTTAAGATTTCAAAGTGTTCTTCTTTTCTTTACTTAATATTTTTTGCTTGAGATTTACCTTCTGATCGCAAAAGCACAGCTCTGCTTTCTTTCTTTCTTTTTTTTTTTTAAAGAGAGAACACAAGCCGGGGGAGGTGCAGGCAGAGGAAGAAGCAGGCTCCCAGTTGAGCAAGGAGCCCAATGTGGGACTCAAGCCCATGACTCTGGATCATGACCTGAGGCGAAGGCAGACACCCAACCGACTGAGCCACCCAGGTGCCCCTCTGCTTTCTTTTATATCTGCTTGGTTCATTTCAACCAGAATCCTTTACTCCTTGATTCCCATTATTTAATTTTGGTTTTATAATTAAAGATGTAGAATGTTTATAGGAGTTTTATCTGAATATTCTCCAAAAATTTCTTGGGTATTTTCCTTTTATCATATTGAATTCAGAGGGAGTCCAGGGTTTTGTAAACCTGCCTGGACTTAAGTTAGGCCAACAAAACCCCAAACTACAAAGGTGACACTCACTAAAATAAGACTTGGGCATGAACCCCTGACTGTGGTAATATGCCTTTTGATTTTAATTCCCTACATAATATTCATTTTTTCCCCTTTTCCTAATAAATATATTCCTGATTCTGCATGCTGCTGAAAGATAGCATTTCCCAGCCTCCCTTCTAGCCAGGATGTAGTCATGGGACACATTATCTGGCTAGCAAGACATGATTGAAAAGCTGAGGATTTCTGAGAATGTTTCACTTTTTCAAAATTGTGCATTCTGTTCTTGATTGTTAATTCTCATTTTCTATATATCTTATTCTTGTTTCCTTCCTCTTTCTCCTCCTACTCTTTTTTTCTTCTTCATTTTCATCTTCCATAGAAAATGAACAGGAAGCGGAGATGGAACAGTCATTTTTCAATCTTAAGGTGACCACGGGAAGAAAACCATTTGTTAATGATGGCAAATCTGGAGGATAAATACCATGTGTTATTACTAACATGTTTACTTTTGGACTCCCTGCCTCTGGACTTCTTGATTTGTAAAAAAGTATAAACACCCATGTAGCTAATTCCCTGTGATTGGGTTTGCATTACATACACTTAAACATATACATAACTAATAAATTCAACTTCATTTCTACACTTACATGGCTTCTTCCTTAGCTTTATTTCCCATTGTCATCCCTTAGTTTGCCTCTTGAACTTAAGGGAAAATTAATTTTCTCTGCTTTTGACTTTTAACATTCTTTTGGGCTTGACTCACATTCTGTCTTATCCTCCCCTTTTCCATTCAACTCAACCACATGCCAATTTTCTTAGTTGACTATTTCTCCTTTGTAGGACATACCATGGTTCTGAAGGCTGCCACTTAACTGGAACATAGAGATGTTCTCAAGCTTTTGACTCTAATCTAATGAGAATACAGTTTCTGAACCAAATTTCAGTTCCAAATGGAGCCTTTTAAGTCATCATGGGTACATTGGTTCTGGAGTGGTAAAGACCACAATTTGCATACAAGAAAACATGGTAGACATCTCCGCATCAGGCCCACAGGCACTCTCAATGCCCCAAGAGTTAAATCCACACCTTGTTCAACTCTATGTCTGGTCCCTGGTATGTGTTCCCTAATGCAGTGTGTGGGAGAGTCAGCTCTGCTAAATGGAGCGCTCAGAAAATCAGACCAGGGTTTATGAGCAAGAGAGAAATCACAAACTTGAGCTGTAGCGCCACCTTTTGGAAAACAAAAGATAGGTTTCCGGTAGCCCACACCGTGCATAAGAACCAAAGACAAAAGCTTAAGAATTCTTCCATGAGAGGAAGTAAGAAGTGTGGAGTAGATCTAACTATAGAAGGTCAGAGAAACCTCTCATAATAACAGGACCACGAACAATATATCCCATCTGAAGGCAACTAGTAAAAATTTGAGAAGGTGTCTACTACTGCGAATGTGAAAGCAGCAATACAAAACTCTAAAAGCATGAAGCATCAAGGACACATATCATCACTGAAAGGTAATCTTCCAATTGTTGAGAACTCAAAGACACAGAATTTTGCAATCTAGCTGATAAATAATTCTAAATTGCTGTTTTGAGGTAACTCAACAAGCTGCAAGAAAACATGAAAAGATAATTCAACAAAATCAGGAAAGCAACATATGAACAAATTGAGGAATTTAGCAAAGAGATCAAAATCATAAAAGGCCAAAACACAAATTCTAGAGCTGAAAAAAATCAGCTAATGAAATGAAAAATAATACAATAGAAAGTATCTACAGAAATGTAACTATTACAGTTTGCTAACAAATACAAAATATAAAGAAGGTAAATTGTGACATCAAAGATATAAAAGGGGAGGAGTGAAAGGGTAGAGCTTTTGTATGCCATTGAAGTTAGGTCACTATCAAGTTAAAATGGACTGTTTTATCTATGAGATGTTTTCAGGTGAGCCTTCTGTTAACCACAAAGCAAAAACCTACAGTAGATTCACAAAAGATAAAAAAAGGGGAATCAGAACAGAAAAAAAAGCTGAGCCCTGTCTAATCCAGAATGGCTATGCTGATCTTTGTTGTTGAGGGAAATGGGGATCCAGGTACCTGTGTAGCTCCAAAGGATGGACTGGAATCTGGACTTCAGCCAGAGCCTTAGACAGGACACTAAGGTTTCAATGCCATGTGTTGGCAAAATGTTTGGTGCTCCACAAGTTTTACCTAAAGCTGCCAGAACTGTTAACATAACAGAAATGTCAGTAAAGACTAATGGGCCCCTCAAACAGACAAGACAGTCTTCTCTGTGAAACAGGATCAGGAAAAAGCAAGAAGCTCTGTTCCTGCCTTGGATGATGCTGATCCAGAAATTGAAAAATTCATTCCCTTAAATCCTCTAGATTTTGAGAGTTTTGACCTGACTGAAGAATATGAGATGGCACAGCTCCCCTTGAATAGAGTGCCTCGCATAACCCTTGATGAGAAAAGGAAACTTGAAAAACTGTTACATCTGGCTCCTCTTCCCCTCCAAAAATGCCCTCTTCACTGTGGAATTAGAATCTGCTGTAGCCTCCTTCAAGCATTCTGTGGGCTCTGGATGTCAAATTGGCAGCCCCTTGTTATGACTTAAATATTTAAGTTTCTTAGCACTTTATAGTGCGTGTGTGTGTGTTTATACTAATAGAGCCATTCTGTGTTTAACAGAAAAAAAATGGAAAATCACCAATTAATGAAGGGAAGCAGAAACAGAGGGATAAAAAATAATTGAACTACAAAACAGCCAGGAAACAACGAATAAGATGGCATTAGTAAGTTTCTACATAGCAACAATTACTCTAAATGTAAATGGATTGAATTCACCAATCAAAAGGCATGGAGTAGTTGTAATGGATAAAAAACCAAGACCTAACTATATGTTGCCAATGAGAGACTCATTTCAACTTTGAGGATTCACATAGGTTCAAACTGAAGGAATGGAAAAAGATGTTCTGTTCAAGTGGTATCCAAAAGAAGGTGGGAGGGTAGCTATATTTACATCAGACAAAATACACTTTAAGCCAAGAGAGAAAGAAGGCCATTAAATAATAATAAAGGGGTCAATTCATTGAAAAGATATAATAGTAATAAATATACACACACCCGACATAGGAGCTCCTAAATATCTTAAGCAAATGCTAACATATCTAAAGGTAGAAATAGACAATGATGTAGTCATAGCAGGGGACATAATACCCAAGTTTCAGCAATGGACAGATTATCCAGACATATAATATCAACTAGGAAATGTTAAACTTGAACCATACATTAGACTAAATTGACCTAAGACATTTCTAGAACATCCCATCCAACAGAAGCTGAATACACATTCTTAAGTGCATATAGAACATTTTCCAGAACAGGTCATATAATAGGCCACAAAACAGATCTCAGCAAATTTAAGAAGGCCAAAATCATATCAACTATCAACTATCCTTTCTGGCTTGAAGCTGGAAATCAATAACAAGAGGAAAGCTGAAAAATTTACAAGTATGTGGAAACTAAACCACACATTCCTGAACAACTAATAGATCAAAGAAGAAATCAAAAAGGAAATTACAAAAAAAAAATCATGAAACAAATGAAAATGGAAACACAGCACACCAAAATGCATGAGAGGCTGCAAAAGCAGTTCTTAGAGGGAAGGATAAAGTGACAAATGTTTGTACTGAGGAAATCGAAAGATCTCAAATAAATAACCCTAACTTTATATCTCAGGATCTGGAAAAACAAGAACAAAGTACGCCCAAAGTTGGCAGGAGTAAGGAAATAACAAAGATCAGAGTGGTAATAAGTGAAATAGAGACCAGAAAAACAATGGAAGGATCAACAAAACTAAGAGCTGTTTTGTTTTCTTTTTTAAGATAAACAAAAATGACTAAAAGTATGTGATTCCTTAGAAGGAGGCAGTTGGTACTTATGTCCAGAAGAAATTTGTCTTGTAGGTTTAATATTGCCCGATGATCTATTTTTTAAAAGGTAAGCCAGAAGTGGACATGTTTATATAGAAATACAATGATTTTTCAGTGTTGGCCTAAAATGGTAAAGCACCATGCAGCCATTCAAATCATCAAGCCATGTCTGGGCACTAGATTTCGCTCATGGGCTATGAGCTTAAGAAGAAGAGGTGTTTGGGGGGAGTGGGGTCACGAAGAAGAGAGAAAACAGACCATAGTGAAGAAGCTTGAAAATTTTATTTATCTACCTTCGATATAGTGAAGGCAGAGCACTTTTATGACAAACATTTCAAGAGGAATGTCTCTTCCCAGTTTTACCACTGTGACTACTAGACCTCCCTTATCCTACCATTAAAATGCAGATATATTATGATTAAAATAATTTATATGTACAAATTAGACCTCAGAAAAATAATTTCATTGCTAATGTAAGCAGGTTAGGGAACTTCATCCAAAATAAGAAAATGAGAGAATTCTGCATTTTCATATTTTAAAGTTGGTATTTTAGCAATATTTTGACAATGGTTATTCCATGTACAATCTTTGGCTACACAACATTAAAAGAAAATTTATTTATTTATTGGCATGCAAAGCAATATGGTTTCAGAATACATGTCTTAAATTTACAGAACTTGAAATTTCAAATATCCCACGTGGCTGGCTGGTGATATGAAGATGATCTTGAAGAGTATTGTACTTACTTCCTAGGAATTAAAAAAAAAAAAATGGCAGTGATTTAGCACAGCTCTAATACCGAGATGATAAAGTTAATTTATCCAAGAAGTAGTTCAGTGATTTGTTTTGATAAAACTTGTTCATCAATCTTTTCATCTTACAAAGCCCTTGGTCTTTTGAACTCTTCAAACATTTGCAATCAGAGATGACTTATCCTAAAATTCTCTTATCAAGAAATATAAAGTTTATGAATAATTATAAAAAGCAATCATAACCTATCAAGATAAGTGGTTAAGTTTTGGTGTTCAGATTTTTACAACAATGTTTATATTCAGTATCTAATACTGTGTGTACTGGTTTTTTACTTAGTGCTAAAGTGTCTATATATAGATAGTGATTTTTGATGTGACATTAATATGTGAATGACTAAACACATCCGTGTTTTATTCATATCTGTGTTCCTAATGGCTTGTCCTTTGTTGGAACTCAGGAAATGTTTTTGGAATAGATGGGTGAATGGAGAAGACGGTAATGGTCAAAAATGAGTATAATAATATTTTCTTTAATGATTCCTAATTTTGATTCTATACCAAGAGACAAAATAAAGACTCTCTCCCTGATATAGAGAACAACCTGTAGCCTGTATGATAATATTTATGGAAGTTTTGGTGGTTTTCAGAAACAGCTAAAATACAGTTACCTCTCAGTGATTTTGGTCTGAAGCAGCCAGTTTATAAAGTCCCGGGTGGCAAGATCATCAAGAACCGTGTTCATCTCATCAGAGAATGAGCCGTCGGCATGTCTGCGGCGTAATTCTTCAACAATGGCGACTTCTTCTGGGAAACTGAGAAAAAAAGGTTCAAGTGAGGACTTGGTTAAATGTTTTAAGTAAGTCCTTACTGATTGCCTATCCTTGGTAACTTGAGTGAGGATCCCAGAGAAACAGTTTCTATTTCCAGGGACCTATTAGGAAAAAACCTCACAGAAACCTGCATGTGGGAAAGGGAATGATTTAGGTAGGAAAGAGTAGGGCTAGGATGGGAAATCAAACCTGTGTAACTTCATGCCCTTTTCAATATTCCAGGCTACTTTGAAGATTTTAGTGTACTGGCAACACAGATGTTATTACTGAGACTTAATTTGTCTATAACTCAAAAAAAATGTGTTCTGTCCCCTAAAACTAGTGATTATTTTGAACAGCCTTGCAAAGTGCAGTATGAAGGGATTAAAACTTAGTCTATGCAACGTTTTCTTTTTGAATGGTTTAGTAAAGCAGAATTTTTGGCATTACTTTAAAACACTATAAAATATCCTCAATTATAAGTGACTATTTACCATGAGTTTTATCAGTTTGATCATTCATGTTTTAAAAGTCAGTGACAATACTAGTTTCCTTTTGTCTACGATCTCTTTAAGTCTCAGTGAGCTTGTTTTAAATCTCACTAAAAAAAAAAAAAAAAAAAAAGAGTTGAACATGAATTTCCTGCCTCTCATATTTCAAATGTCAATCAAAATGATCAGGAGAAAATGAGATGGTTCAGGAATCTGTTTGGTTGTGGTAAGTTCCAAGAAAGTCCCAAAAGGCTTTAGCTTCATTTTCAACTTTGACAATTTAGTGGTTGTCTATATGACAGCCCTATTAAAAAATGGGCATATCGTTAAATCTATGGGTGTTTCCACCTATCTGTACATTGAGTGGTGTTTCATTACATGTCTTAAGTTTTGTTCCTTTTCATCTTCATCATGTTTTTACCTGAATCCTGACACACACGTATATGGGATCCCACCTGTAAATATTTACAGTCAGACTTTCAGGTTTCAGCACTATGTCTTCTCTTTCCTTATCTCTGGTTTTCCTGAGACAGTTCAAGTTTAAGCTTGTTGTCCTGGTACAGTTACCAAAAACATTCTCTTTCCTATCAAGAGTGTTCTGGGTTGACCAATGAATACCCTCATTATAGCTCAACTATACTAGAGGATGATTATTAATTATAAATATTATTAACACTTGCTATAAAAAAATAAAACAGAATAGACTTTTGTAGACTGTCTCCCACCAATTCAAGTTATCTCCTCACTTTGTGAGACTATACTAATTGCTTCTGTAATCCAGATCCATATATAGATAAGTGTAGTTTAAGTTTTCAGCATCATGCAAAAAAAAAAAAATGTTAAATAAGAATGTACAGACTTACTCTCGCCTTCCCCGGCCTTTCACCAGCCAAGCAATGAATTCCTTGGCAGCTTGGCCTTCCAAATAAGAACTTACATCACTGGTAAAGGTCCCTTCAGCATGTCTCTCAAATTCATCATGACGTTTGGCAATGTTATTCCTGAAAGAAATGTGAAAGTTAAGTTGAAGATCTGTCTCTTTAGCAATATGGTTCTCACCTTTAAGCAGTGCAGCACTGGGTTCGGGATCCTATGTAGAAGGGGCTTAGGAAGATTTGGGAGATGAGGGTGGCCAGGGGATCATTCTGAAGCTATATTAATTATCTGGATCCAAGGTTGATGGGAGAGGGCTAGTAACAACCAAGGCAGGCTAAACCCCATCCTCTCTACCCAGCACACCTGTTTTCACCTCCCCTGTTTGTCTGTGCCATTGATCATTAAGCTGTGTTTACTTCAGTCTCAATATATGTTGGGCTCTGCACTGTGCTGTGCTACTTGCAAGCAAGGCAGCTGTTTGTTATTAGTCCATAAAGGGTCAAAGTTAATGAGATGGTGCAAAGGAAAGCAAGGATTATCTCAAAATATCATCAAAATGACCACATGATAATGGATTAAAGGAAATGTGTGATGGGCCAGTCATGAGGAAAGCTAAGAAGAGGACTCCATTTCACCCTCCAAGGGTGTGCAGAGCCCTTTGTGCAAAAGGGGACAAGCTGCCCTCAGTTTCCCCTACATATATTGTTCCAGAAGGTTGATCTTAAACACACAACAGAAATCGCCTGACAAAAAAATTGTTTTCCATTAGTTTACCATGTTGTGGCATTCCCTTCCTAGAAGTGAGGACACTTGTTTTCATTTTCTCAAATTTGTGATTTCCCACATTTTACCAATGGCCTCATCTGTAGCCCTTGGCAGAGACTTCTCCCAGTGTCTGCTCTGGCCGTGACCGCCATCTTCCCTGCAGCTGCAACTTCCACTTTAAGACCTTTAGGTCAACCACTCTGCCACTCCTGTTTCTCCTGCTGGCTCTGTTCACTCTCTTGCTCTCACTTCCTCTCTCCCTTCTCTATTCTATCCAGACAAATCTATGCCCTTTTCCTGATTTTTAGATTCCTTCAGCTACTTTGTATGCATAACTCCCTTCCCCTTGTGGGCCACCCTCCAAAGAAATTGTGAAATTCCACCATCTCTGTGAAACCCTTGCGGATGATTTCCTCCAGTAGCCTAGATGTAGCAAAAAACCCAACACTGTCAAAGAAAATCCAACATTAAAATGTATGCCTTACGATAGGCTTGTGTTCTTATTTGCCTTCTTCTCTCTTTATGCTGTGCAGCTAGGCTGTAATTTTAAATGTGTATCTTGGATTGTATTCTATAAGAAAAAGACTGCATCTGTTTCCATTCCTTACCATGATAACTTGGCTAGAGGATACTTTTAATGTGATCACAGTCATGAGTTTGAACCCTACAAGGGAATGTTGAATTTGCTCTATCCTTTGGTCAGAAATTAGAATCCTAACCTTTAGGTCCACAAAGGTCAACTTTCGATTTTAAAGGGAAATGGGTCAAGACACAGTTGGGAATATCAGTTAAAATCTATGTCCCATTGGAGGGTAGGTAAGAGAATTGAAGGGGTGGGGTGGGGAGGGCATTCAGAGGAATAATACAAAGGATAGCATAACCAACCTTGAAAATCATCAAAATTGGAAGAGTTTATGGGCATGCTTTGATGAGCATGATAAAAAAAAAGAAGAAGAAGAAGAAGAAGTCAGGAGAAATTTTAGACATATTTATGTAATACATTTGTGTGCAACTTTTGGACCAGGTTCAGATCCTTACTTGTTTCTCTTGGTGCTCATCAACCACTGCACGAAATCTTGGGCACGCCTGGAGTCCAGATACTTGCTGTAGTCACTGGTGAATGTGCCCTGGGAATGGCGCTTGTCTTCACTCATCTGATCTGGATCATTGAGCGGGTCTGTCTGAGGAGCTGGGAATGATCTGTGAAGAACAGTAATTGGTGCAAATAAATGTCTTCTCAAGAGTAGAATCCCTTGAACAGCATCTTCTTTACAAAATACTGCACTATATGAAGCTGGAAGGCAGGTGTCTTGAGAATTTCAGTGGGTAGTTCAGAGACACCTTTAGCTTGCCATGGGAATTCCACACTTCTATTGGAATTGAATATACTCTGATTCTGAATTCTAGTAGTAGATTTTTCAACTGGCTTCTCTTTTCTGAAATGGGATTAAAGAAATCTTTTTTTCCCCCACTTAATGCATCTACTCATGTTTACACTAATGACAAAAGAGTTCAATGGCTTCAATATTTTAAAAGAGTAAAAAATTATACCTCATTTGTTGGACAAGCAGCAGATTTATGTCCCTAATTGTGTTTTTGGATATATTAATATAAACAAGTAGCTCAGTTACTGGTTATATGGTAGCTAATAGTGGAAGAAAGACAAACACACACACACAAAAATAAGACAAGAAAAGTGCACTTGGTAAATTGAAACTGTATGGTGGATAATATGCATGCCAGTAATCAACAGTTGGTTGGCATGGTAAATTTGGGGAAATACTCAATGTGATTAATACTCAGAAATAGAAATGAGTTACTATCTCTACCTGTCAAATTAGTAAAGATTAAATACTGGGGAGGATAGTGTGAGAGAAGTATTTCTATACTGCTGATGGGAGTGTGTATGTGTGTGACTTTTCTGGAAAGCAAGTTGGCAAGATAATATAAAAAATTTAGACTCATTCAAACCCTTTGACATAGTAATTCTACTACTAGAAATCTATCCTCAGAAAATAGTAAGAAATGTAGGGGGAAAATGTTATTTGAGGCATTCTTTGTGGGAAAATTTGAAGAATTCTTAAGTGTTCAATAAAGGAAGAATAACTAGATAAATATTACACATTTATGAGATGAAATAGTATGCAGTCATTAAAGGGTCATACATTTAATAGATATTTTTAATGACATAAGAAAGAATTGGCAATGTAATGAAAAAGAAAAAATAGAAAAAAAGCATAGTATCTGGGATATATTTATGTATAGTGCATAATATTTATGTGCACTATATAGTGCACATAAAATACAGGAAAGTAATACACCAAATTTTAGAATTATGAGTAGTTTTCTCTGAATAGTGAAGTTTGAGTACTTGAAAAAATTTTTCACGTTTTTAAAAATTTTCTATCATGAACACATACGACTTTCACAATTAGCAACCAACCATTATTTTTTAAAAGGAGTAAAAGAGACACAAAGTTGGTACGAATAATTAAAATAATCTACTCTACAGTGTGTAATGAACAGATAGGATCAGCTGAAGATGTCAAAGAGCTATAATTTCCTGTGTAACAGATTTTCAACATTAACCACCCCTTTGGTTGTGAGATAGCACACACTCTGATCTATTCTGCAGAAAAGCTTTTATCACAATGATACTTCGAACATTTGGAAAACGTACAGAGTATTTTACTCAGACCTATTCACTAATCATAGCTTTTACGGGCTCTATTCTAACCATAATGTTACGTTAGTTCAAATCTAAGGATTTAATACCTGGATTTCTCCTCTGTGTCTTGAAGGGAACGTTGCCAGCTGCCTTGTACCAGCATTACAAACAATCCAGCCACAAAGTAAATGCTTTTCATTTTTGCTGCCTGTGGGAACACAGAGTCAGGGGCTTGGACTGGGGGACAGGGGGGAGACCACAAACTGTATTTGAACCCATCAGATTAAATTAATTCGATTTTGACTAAGTAAATATTACAACTAAAAAGAATAAGCTAGTCACCAATTTTACTCTGACCATGTTCCCAGCTTAATTTCAAATAGTAGATTCTATTTTCCCCCAGATTTTGTTTGGTGACAAAAAGGATACAAAAGATATGTTCCACCCAATTTAAAAAAAAAAAAAAAAAAGATGTGTACCACCAACTAAGCTTTTTCATTAGTGTAGGACACTTGTGTTAATGATTAGAAGGCTCATTTCCAGACTTGAAATTAAAAATGTCCATGATAAACATTTAAAATATCTACTGTAGATGATATGCTACATATGGTTTGCCTGAATGGCACCTTATCCATAATGCCACCCCCTTCACTATCAGTCTGGCTTTCAATTAATAGTCCTCCACTTCCAAGCATTTACATTATACTGCATTTCAACCATCTTAAAGCAGCCTCAGGCTACAACTTGGCATACCAGCTGTCGGTTCAGATGTATTATTCATTTATATTTTAAATAGTGTAACTTGGTCTAGACTTTGTAATTATAAAGCGGCCAACAGATTTGAGGTATTTTAGGGTGCTTTGACCTGTTCTAAATTAAAGGGAAAAATCATTTTAAAGACAAGCAATTTGCAACAAGAACTAATGCTTCTGGCAACTTGAACAATCACAACCAAGAAACTAAGAGATCACTGTCATAAAGAAAATTAATGCTTGCTTCTGAAGCCTTGGAAGTCCCCAGGTTGTTTTATAATTGGACTTATTCCAGGACGTGTCATTCACTGCTACTGACACCCTAGGCCTGGTTGCACGATACACCTGTTTGCTTGTCTTCATAGCTCAAGCAGATGCTCTGTGAAGCCGCTGGATGCCAAGGACATGATGAGGCAGTGTGGATGGGTGGGGATCAATATGAATGCGGGGCAGTCGCGTGTCCCCACAGGGCAAGCTCCTCTATTTAACTGCACGAAAACTTTGAGTCTGATGTTTGTCTTGGAGTTCTCTCTGTTACTTTTGAGACGGACCGTGTCTACCTTGAGAAGTGGGGAATTCAATCCAAGTTTGATTATACTTATCCATAAATAATTTGAATGAGTATTTTTAGCACATGGCATTTGGTCTGAAAGAAAGATTTTACAAATATTATCATTTTAAACTATCAATCTTTTCTTGAACATTCTTGCCATATTTACTATCTGTCTTTGGCGCTAAAACATGGAGACCATAGTACCTGCAATGGTATTTTTTTTCTTTCTTTGAAGTATTGTCTTTGTGGATTAAGTGGTCAGTTAGACAAAGCAACAAAATAGGAATTACATATTCATCAGTATTAAGTTACTAATTTGGCATTTTGCTCCGCTTCAGCTTACCTAGTTGGCAAACTTCGGAAACTTTATCACATATGCAGGTTGTGTCTTCTGGTTATAATTCTCAACTGTAAGTTCAGGCTTTGGGGAATTTTTAAAAAATTAAAGCAAGCATTTCTTTTTAGGGTTACCTTACTGTTAAAAAGTCAGTTTAGGGGGCACCTGGGTGGCTCAGTGGGTTAAAGCCTCTGCTTTCAGCTCAGGTCAGGATCTCAGGGTCCTGGGATTGAGCCCTGCATAGGGCTTTCTGCTCAGCAGGGAGCCTGCTTCCCCGTCTCTGCCTGCCTTTCTGCCTATTTGTGATCTCTCTCTGTCAAATAAATGAATACAATCTTGAAAAAAAGAAGTCAGTTTAGTCCTAAATAATTCCTTCTACACAAAGTTGCAAAAGATTTGACAATATTTTCTAATATGTTCTATGGAGGCAGATTTAGAACAGGTGGGATTCTACCACCATGGGAACTGACCTAAAGAGAAGCAACAGTACAGAAGTGAATATGTGAAGTCCTCTACAGACAATAAAATGAGTTCCACTGAAAAAGGAACTGCTTTTTAAAAATATCATTTCTTTTCATTTAGTGGAAGCCTACAGAATTGTGAAAATTTTAAGAATAAGATTGTTTGACTGCCACAACTGAGAAAGCTAGTATTTATGTCATTTTAGGTCAAGCTCCTACTCAATAAGAGAAGAATTTTAATCACCCCCCTTCCGGTAGCCTAAAGAGAGAATCTGCAGTTTTTTAAGACCCACACATTTCCAATCAAATTTAGAGGAAAATACCATAACAATAGCATTCTTTGTGTAGGAAGTCTTTTAGGAAGATAAACCCTAGACCTCGACAAGGTGACATTATGTTATATTCCCAAATACATTGGTATTGGAGGCCAAATAGATACTTTTCAAACTGGTTGATTCATTTCAAAAACACACCACTTCATCATTTTCTCCATTGAGGATCTTTGTAAAATTGTTCTTCATCCTTAAGAAGCTAACTAGGTACTTTAGAACACCTGTTTGTTTGTTTGTTTTTCCTAAAGAGATTTACTAAAATTTCATTTCAGAATGTGGACATTTTAGATATATTATTTATTATTATTGGTTTTTAATACATAGTAAGGAATTATTAATCAGTGGTTTTACTCAGTTCCATCCAAAGCCTTCCCAATAATTGACTATATTTTTCTTTGCACCAGATATGCTCTGTCTCATTTACAAAGAGCTGATTTCATGGACTTGGATTTTTTTTTTTTTTTGATAGACTTAACAGAAATTTGAATATTTGAAAGATGATGTTGATTCTGCTCTTTTAGAAAACCATAAGTTTTCATTGGTAAGGAGCAATTGCTGTTATAGCTTCTCTAATGGACACATTTTTGCTGAATTTAAAAGGCGCCTTCTGTTCAAAGTAGTATACACATTTATCAAACTCAAGGAAAATATTTATTTTTCAAAATGTTACCACTTATTTAAAAATGCAGTTCTCATAACAGTTAAATCTTATAACAAGGGCATTGATTCGAAATCTTTGTCTTTCTTTCTATTTTATATCTTTGCATGGAATTGTTATCCCATTCACTGTTCAGCTTCACTAGGTTGAATTAAATATACGTAAACGCATTTTATGTCACTTTTTCATCTCCATTCTGTCCCCGTGAACTAATAGCAATAAGGTTTAAGATGAAAGAACAGGACTTCATTCATAATACTTTGCCCCCTTAAAAATAACTAACAGCACCTCAAGCAGGATTTACAAGTCTTGCGGTCCCTCACTGGTCATCTTACCTTCTGACTGGAACAGAGCAGGTGGAGAGAGAGCAAGCCCCCTTTTCGGACCTCTGGATGTGCTTTGTCCTGAGCCCTGTACTTGTGCAGCCGAGCCCACTGGGTTTATATACTCTCAGCGTTGTTCAGACTCACAGATATTACGCTGACAATATAAATTTCTCATCTGTAAATAATGAGTTTTTGTTACAAACGATTTCACTCGCCCACTCACTTTGCTCATCTGCATTCTATGCGTATGCTGGGTGGGGCCTCTGGGACCAGGAAACTTTTTATTTACTCTCCTGCTTCTTTTCATTGTTGTTGTTGTTGGGAATGGAAAAGGGCAATTTGGAAATTTACCCTTCACTCTCAGTCAGGCATGAAAATCACTTAAGTACTCTAAAGTGAATTCTGATGCTGAAGACAAAAAAAAAAAAAAAAAAAAAAAAAAAAAAAAAAGAAAAGAAAAAAAAAAAAAACAACCCCACCAAACATGGAAATTACATGGTTTATGGCTGCTCTCACTCTGAGCAGGGCCTCACTGGAGGGTCTTATAAGTCCTTTCTTTTGCTGTCTAGTTATGAGACAGTTATCTGAATGCAATAACCAGTTCATTCTATCACCTACCCAAATAATAAATCATTCACTCAACACATACTCAATAAGAATCTTCTCATCCCCACCCTATGGAATTAATTTGTATTATTTTGGAGGGGAATTTTTAAAAATATCACTTAAGACCTAATGTGTCCTGTTGTAGCAAATTGGATTCAGGCAGAAAGGATAAAGCAAAATGAGGATTAAACATCCGAGATAGGTGATGATAATAAGACAGGAACTCATACTTCTTTTTTCTTATGATGGATACATAAAGACTAACTGTGTTGATAAGAGATTCCGACACTAATTCATAAAAGAACAAATTTGAGGAAAACTCTTGACATGAGATGCATACTGTCACATTTCCTGAGTTTTGTGATCTGCCACTTAGGACTCTAATGATCCATAAGATTCAGCAGATGTGAGTTTGGCCATTTTAGAGAAAGAGAAAAACGCGAAACGACCTGGACAGGCAGCGTGAGAACAGTGTTGGTGTCATTCGATTTTGGTCTGGCTGCTGTCCACAAACTGTGGGACCACCGTCAAGTCACACACTCTCCTTGTGCCTCAGCTTCCTCACCTGCAAAATGAGAGGATTGGTCACAAGAGTCTTGTAAGATAAAACTGTGATTCCATATGACAAAATCATTGCCATATCTCCTAGCTAGATTCCAGTATTCGGATATCATCAACTGCATGACAAAGCGGATGACTCGTACGGAAGTAAATCGTGGAAGCAACTGGAGAAACATCTAATTTTTCACCTGTGGATTGGACCCACTGTTGGATGTAGAGCCAGTTAAAGGCCATAGAGATAAGTTCTATGTGAAATTGGGAGACCTCAGGAAGAGAAGAAGAGAGTTAGTGCTGGTGGTTACCGATGGCGATTCAAAGTGTGGTCCCAAAACCCACATCACCTGGGAGCTTACTAGGAATGCAGACACTCAGGCCCAAACCGAGACTTACCCAATAAGAATCTGCATTTTACCAAGATTCCCAGGCAATTCATATGCATATTAAAGTCTGAGAAGTATGGCTGCCTAAAATACCTACCTTGTTTTCTTTATCTCTCAACGCTTGCTGGTATTTTCACCGGAGGATTGCTTCTTGGCACTGCCAGCAGGGGGAGCGAAAGAGCAAGAAAGGTAGCCCTCCTCTGGACAGTGTGGATTAACACTTAAATGGCTTTAAAGTGTGGATAAGCTTACTATGGAGTTGTTCTTCCCTCTTCCCTCCTGAGTATACTGGCTATATTTGTAGTAATTGTTTGACATTCAGTTCTATTTTTTCCTCTTTGCCTATTTGAATAGATGTCTCTTCAGTCCTCTGTGTCTATCTTCTTTTCAGATGTTCTCTGTTTCTGGAGCAGTCCTAATTGGGGAGGAGGGAGGGAGCGGGGGCGGGGGGGGGGGGGGGGGGGGGGGGGGGGGGGGGGAGAGGTGTCTGGAGATGTTGTATATAAAGCCCTTAACACAGCACCTGGCTTTGTTCCCTCCCAATATCTTACTACAAAACTTGTTTCCCTCCACTGCACTTGCTTTCTATTATTTCAGAAGGGACTATCCCAAGTTCTTTGAGGAAATATCCTCTGGCTTCATCTCTAGCCCCCCTACACTGGTTCTTGGAAGTCCCCAATACCATTAATAACAAACATTCTGAAAATGCAGAGGCATTCCAAGCCTCATTGTACAAAGCACTGTTCTCCTACTTAGCAGGGGCAGAGCAGTCTCCTTGATAGACATCATATTATCAGAAATCAAGACAAACATCAATACAATTGTGGGCTTGCGGATCTTCTTCCAATGACTGCCCCACACCAGCTTCCACTTGGCCTTCCATTCCCATCATAACAGTTATTTGGTCATTCAGATGTGAGGCAGAGAAAGTGGGGTCCTTATAGTTAAATGACTAGTGTTAAATAGTTTGTCTGGAAGCCGGGAAATTATGGCATATGCCATCTAGAGTTCTCCCATCAGACTATAGGAGGTACCTGATGGCTGCCAGGGGGCACTGCCACATCATAGCTATGATATACTTTCCTGAAACATCAGTTTGACTTGATAGAAGTAATACAAAACCTAATTATTATATGGAGTAGTACAAAAATATGCATCAAGTTTTAAGGTAAAATAAGGTATTTATTCAAAGATTACTTGCCTTCTTTATGATGCTTAGGACCTGGGATAACTTTTATGGCTTAAAACCTATGCTGTTGCAAGAGATCACATGTTTAGAAGGGCCCTGTGCTTGGCCTAATACTCTGCTCCGATCATCTTGAAATTCTTAATAACTTTTGAACAAGGGATCTGCATTTTTGTTTTGCACTTTGCCCCACAAATTATGTAGTGGGTTCTTCTTAGGACCTCCACTGATGAAATCATGGGTTACAGGAGTTTTGTATTTTTATTTTGCTAAGCTGTTCAGAATAGTTGGGTTGAAATATTTGAGAATGGCAAAGATCACTACTCTCTGGTAGCAAGACTATGGACAAGGAGTTTTCTCTTGCATGACCAATGGGAGCACAACATGTTACAGCATGTTTGAGGGCACAATTTGACAATATTACGGAATTACAAATATCTATAACCCCTGGCCTCATAAGGCTAAAGCATCACTCTGAAAGTTTATCCCAATTTTATTACTACATATATATGTAATGATATAGGTACAAGGCTCTTCATTGCAGCATTGTGTATAATAATAATAAGTTGGAACCATCAATATAGCAGGGTTCAGAAAAAAGCAATGAGGAAGCTCTTTATTCACCAATATAGAAAGACTCTAAGTTATGTTGTTAGGTGAAAATAGGGAGGGGCATTTCGGATATACATAGTAGGCCACTTTTGAGTTAGGAGAGAGAATGGGACAAATATATGTTTATTTAATCACTGCATTTAAAATAATTGGAAGAATGCACAAGAAACTAACAGAAGCACTTAGCTGCAGTCTGGACCAGTGAGGTAGACAGAAACAGATGCCAAGAATACTTCTCAATATATACTTGTTATACTTTGGGGATTTTTTTGTCCACTTGGTTTAATTATCAATTCAAAATAACAAATAAATACAATATAAAAAGAAGTGACAGTACAACCACTTTGGGAAGAGGTTAAGTACCTCTTCCTAAACAATTACCCTTTGACTTAGTAATTTCACTCAAGAGAAATGAAAATATTTATCTACAAAAAGTCTCACAAAAACATTCACAGGAGCTTTCTAGCTATAGCTAAAATTGGAAACAACTGTCAGAAAGTAAAATATTAAACAAACTGTGATATGGAATTGATACAATGGAATACTACTGAACAACAATAACAAAAAAGAATGAAAAACTGGTACTGGCACCAATGTGGATGAATTTCACAGATATGCTGAGTGAGGACTCACAAAAACACTGCATACTGGACGAATCTTTTTTAAGAAGTTCAAGAACAGGCAAAACTAAGATTAAAAAATCAGATTTATATAAATTTGATTTATATAAATTTTAACTAAAAGAAAAAAATTGTATAACTTAAAAAGAGAGGGTCCCTGGGTGGTACAGTTGGTTAAATGGGTGACTCTTGCCTTCAGCTCAGGTCATGATCGCAGGGTCCTGGCATAGAGCCCTGCATCAGGCTCCATGCTCAGTGTGGAGTGTGCCTGAGATTCTCTCTCTCCCTCCCTGCCCATCCTGCTAAAATAAAATTAAATTAATAAGTAAATAAGTAAATAATATCTTTTAAAAACACAAAAATAAAAAGAGCTGTTGGTGGAAGTATAAATCATATTAGCATGACTAAATACTGACAATTGTTGAGTTGGCTAAGTAAACAGGATTTATTAAGTGATTCTTCTTATACCACGTAAGTATGAATCTTCCAAAAAAAATAAGTCAAATGAAAACTATAATAAAATAAGTGTGGGGTAGGACATTAGCACCAATTAATCAATTCCTTTGAAAGCCAGAGTTTGACCTTTCACCTTGTAGGACAACATCATATGAAATAATATCCGCATTACAGTGGTCCCAGAAGAAGAAGAGAGAAAGGGATAGAAAAATTATTTGAAGAAATAATAGCTGAAAACTTCCCTAAACTGGGGAAGGAAAAGGACATCCAGCTCCAGAAAGAACAGAGAGTTATAAACAAGATGGACCCAAAGAGATCCACACAAAGACAAGTTATAATCAAACTGTCAAACATTAAAGAGGAAGAGAGAATATTAAAAGCAGTAAGAAAAAAACAACTTGCTATATAAAAGGGAACCCCTGTAAGATTATCAGCTAATATTTCAACAAAAATTTTGTAGGCCAGAGGGAGTAGCATGAATATTCAAGTAGCTAAAAAGAAATGTTCCATGTGTACTAGAAAAGAATGTATATTCTGCTGTTTTTGGATGGAATGTTCTGTATATATGTATTAAGTCCATCTGGTCTAATATGTCTTTTAAGGCCAATGTTTCCTTATTGCTTTTCTGTCTGGATGATCTATCCATTGATATAAGTGGGGTATTAAAGTCTCCTGTTATTATTGCATTGCTGTCCATTTCACCTTTTAGGTCTGTTAATATTTGCTTTATAGATTTAGGTGCTCCTATATTGGGTGAATAAATATTTACAGATGTTATATCCTCTGGTTGGATTGACCCCTTTATCATTACACAATAATACCCTTCTTTGTCTTTAATCATGGTCTTTATTTTGAAATCTATTTTGTCTAATACAAATATAGCTACACCAGCTTTCTTTTTGCTTCCTTTTTCATGGGATATCTTTTCTTATCCCTTCACTTTCAGTCTATGTGTGTTGTTAGATCTGAAGTGAGTCTTTTGTAGGTAACACATAGATGCGTCTTGGTTGGTTCTTTTGTCCACTCAGCCACTCTATACTTCTTAATTGGAACATTTAATCCATTTACAATTACTGACAGGAATGTATTTATTGCTATTTTGTTGGTGATTTTCTGGCTGTTTTTGTAGTTTCTCTCTGTTCCATTTCTCTTGTCTTGTTTTCTTCCCTTGTTATTTGGTGATTTTCTTTAGTGTTATGTCTGGATTCCTTTCTCATTGTCATTTGTATATCTACTATAGATTTTTGCTTTGTATGTATGTATAGATTTTTATTTTGTTTCTTAACTATTATACTTCCAATTTTAGTATTTTCTGTCTTTCAACCTTCATATTAGATTTACAAGTGATTAATCCACTAACTTTATTAGGTATTTGCATTTGACAGTGTTATCCTTACCTTTATATGTAGTTACCAGTTTGTGGTTTTTCCTTTTGGCTTAAAGTAGTCCTTTTACCATTTCTTGTAAGGTTACTTTAGTGATGATAAACTCCTATTTTTTTTTTTTTTTTGAAGGATAGCTAGTGTATTAGGTCAAAAAAGAAGTCTCAATAAACTTAAAAATATTGAAATTATATCAAACATCTTTTCAGGCCACAATGGTATAAAACTAAAAATCAATTATAGGAAGAAAACTGGAAAAATCACAAATATGTGAAGATTAAACAACGTGGTATGAAACAACTAATGGTTCAACAAAGAAATCAAAGGAGAAATTTAAAAACACCTGGAGACAAAATAAAAATGGAAATA